AATATATTTTTTCCAAGTCTTTGCATTTCCTAACAAATGGGGCAATGTCATTCTTTCTGATGGTGGCATAGAATTCCATTGTATATATATGTACCACATTTTCTTGATCCATTCATCTACTGAGGGGCATCTGGGTTGGTTCCATATCTTAGCTATGGTCAATAATGCTCCAATAAAAATAGTTGTGCTGGTAGCTTTAGTATGGTCTTGTTTGTGATCATTTGAATAAATGCCCAAAAGTGGGATTGCTGGGTTATAGGGCAGCTCTATGTGGAGTCTTTTGAGGAACCTCCATACTGCTTTCCAAAGTGGTTGAACAAGTTTACACTCCCACCAACAATGTAGTAAGGTTCCCTTCTGTCCACATCCCCTCCAGCATCTGTTGTTATTAGAGTTCTTGATTATAGCCATTCTAACTGGGGTGAGGTGATACCTCAATGTTGTTTTGATTTGCATTTATTTTATGGCTAGAGAGGTTGAGCATTTCTTCATGTGTCTCTTTGCCATCTTTCTTTCCTCTTCAGAGAAGTTTCTCCTTAAGTCTTTAGCCCACTTATTTATTAGGTAGTTGTTTCTTTGAAGATATGTTTTTGGGGGATTTAATTTTTTGAGTTCCAGGTATATTTTAGACATGAGACCCTTGTCCATTGTATGGCTAGTGAAGATCTCCCAATCCAAGGGCTTGCTATTGATCTTGCTAGCTATGTCTTTTGCCATGCAGAAGCTCTGCAGCTTCATGCAATCCCATTTGTCCTACCTTTCTTTGATTTGTTGTGTTTCTGGCCTGTGCCAAGGAGACCTAGGGTTTCTCCTATTCCATCCTGTAATTTTCAGAGTGTCTGCTTTGACTCCGAGGTCTTTGATCCATTTGGAGTTGATTCTGGTGCAGGGTGATATAAAAGAATCTAGCTTTAGTTTTCTACTAGTAGTTCTACTAGTTAACTACTAACTAGTAGTTAACCAATTTTGCCAGCACCATTTACTGAAGAGGCTGTCTTTCTTCCATTCTATTTTTTTAGCTCCCTTATGGAACATTAGATGATATAGGTCTGTAGGTTCATTTCCGGGTTTTCAATTCTATTCCATTGGTCCTGAGGTCTGTTCTTGTGCCAGTACCAAGGTGGTTTGACTACTATGGCTTTGTAGTAGAGTTTGAAATTTGGTATTGATATTCCTCCAGCACTGTTCTTTCTGTTAAGGATTGTTTTTGCTATTCAGGGTCTTTTATTGTTCCATATGAATTTTTGGATTGCCTCTTCTATTTCTTTGAAAATGAGGTTGGAATATTGATAGGTATCACATTGAATTTGTAGACAGCCTTGGGAAGTATTGCCATTGTCATGATGTTGATCTTTCCAATCCAGGAGCATGAGAGTTTTTGCCACTTTCTAAGTTCTGTTGCTTTCACTGTATTTGATGTTAGCATAATTTGTGGAAGGGAAGGGCAAAAATAAATCGTTTAACTAGGGATACAGGCGGACCCATTGCAACAATGAGATGTACAAGTTGTTATGTCGAAAAATGAACTTTACAACTTTAGTGGGGGGGGGGGGGAGGGAGGTGGGGGGAAAATGGGAGGAGTATGGGAAGGGATGGGAAGGGGAAACAAAGAAGAGGCAACAATGATTGATAAGAAATGTACTCGTTATCTTGCCCATGTAATTGTAACTCCTCTGTACGATATTTTCACAATAAAAAAAAGTAAAATGAGTTTTTGTGTATATATTTGTTTTGTACAAGTTAATTTTAAAAAGGAATTTTCCACTGATTTTTTAAGAATAAATATATTAGCATTGTCGACTTCTGGGAGATGTGCATTCTCTGAACTAACAATGCTATGAAGCACTCACAAAGATCTCTGTATCTACAAATCAAACTGAAGAAATGATCAATAGAATAAAGTGAAAACATGTAGAAACTGTGAAGTGCTTCACATGTATTAAACAATGACTTAATAATTTAGAAATTTCCAGTGCACCCAGATACCCCATACTCAGAATACAATATAAAATTTCCTGGCTCAACTTTGCCATGCTGTGCAATCTAGTTTCCATTGTCACCTGCCTTCAATGCAATTTCTTGCTCAGCTTTGTGAGCTGGGAAGGCTTTTAATTGGGTTGGTGGAGAGAAGCCAGATTTTAACCTTTGCATCTCATTGAAAGCACTTGGAAGGGAGATCTTGAGATCATTTTTGAATTCATGGCCCTGCAATAGATTCTTAAGTGATTTCCAGTCTTGGTTACTAGTAGGAAGAAATGTCAAAACAGGTCTATCTATGAATTTACAGAATCTGGGAAAATGAAAGAAATATTACTGATTATTGGTAACTGTTTTTAGCTGATTGGAACATAATATAAGAAGAAATGAGATACCCATGTATATAAGAGAATGTTTCCTTATTTAGTTTCCAGAAGAGAGCTTGAAAGTTGCCAATCTTTTACAATAACTGAAAAAAAAAAACTGAAAAAAGCAACAGCTTTTCTGCAATCTATCAGAGTCTCCAAAGAATGAATACTGTTAACTGAAGAAAGCATGTCATAGTGAACATAGCTAAATATAAATATCAGATGTTCTAAGTTCCATATAATAGTGTGCATAGCTAAAACTAAAGAGTAAGATGTGGAAGGAATTCATGGGATCAATGTCAATGAAACCCTGTTTTATCAATGAAGGATGCATTATCATAAACTAGAGCCTCTTATAGAATCTCAGCTTAAAGTGGTGACACACTTGCCCTTGTAGTCACAAAGATAAGTTACTACAGAACTAACCTATCATTTCATGAGGCTTTATCTCATTATTAACATTTTTTAATTTTGGGAACAAGTAGCTAAAGTACGGCATATGCTGGAGTCCAATGGTGTAAGTTTGAACAAATAACTCGCTTCACAAAATGAATTAAGCTAGAACATGCGTTGTGTGTGTTGAAGAATGAGGTCAAGGGGAAGGTAATAGATAAGTGGAAAGGGGTGGGAGAATACAGCCATATTATTCAATGTACATATGTGGAAATGGAACCAGGTAACTTTAGTGATGGGTGAGGTTGGGAGAGATGGGAGAGTTGACATCAAGACACACTGCAGTCATAAACTGACACATTAAATAAACCCAGTTTGTACAACTATTTAAATATAATTTTTAAAAAAGCAATTAAAGAGTGAAATTAGCTGGGCACTGGTGGCTCATGCCTGTAATCCTAGCTACTCAGGAGGCAGAGATCTGAGGATAGCAGTTCAAAGCTAGCTTAGGCAGGAAAGTCTGTGAGACTCCTATCTCCAACTAACTACCAGAAAACTGGAAGTGGCGCTGTGGTAGAGTGCTAGCCTTGAGCTGAAGAGCTCAGGGACAAGCACCCAGGCCTAGAGTTCAAGCTCCACAACCATCCAAAAAAAAAAAAAAAAAGAATGCATGAAATTAATAAAATAACATAAATTATGTAAAATATGAAATATGAAGGTTAGTAAAATGCTACCCAAAGATACAAAGAAATACTTTTTTACCTTTATTGAGAATTTGAAGTCTTGGCCTCATAGTGTCTCAAGCTAGTGTTCCAGCGCTGAACCCTCATACATTTTCATTTTCATTTAAAGTAGTAAACTTTGCAGTTGGAGATGATGTCTAACATGGTGCAACATTTCTTCCATATTTTCTACTTGAGGTAAACTGTGTCTTTATGATAAGGTATGTTTCACACAGGAACCAGAGTCTAAACTGAGGAACACAGTGACTCAGGATTCAAAACTTTCAGTCCCATATCTTATTGAAGATGCTATTTTCAGTTTCACACTTCTTTTCTCTTGGTCAAATGTTCATCAACTGTGATAGTAAGACTTTTTAATTTGTGTTTTAGTTCCCTTTTAAGTTATAAAATACTTTAGGGAAGAGAGAGCTGAAGACCAATAAGCAAAAGCACTGGCTGAGCTTGGCAGAGAAAGAAGAGAAGAACTTTTGTTCTTGGAGGTGTTATTGAACCACAGAATTGATTCATTTTAGAATCAGATGTTAGGCATCTTATGAAAAAAATACTTTAAAGACACTTTCTATGGGGGTATATATTATTTGCAGCAGAAAGTAACCTAATATACCAATTACTCTTTTTATAGATTAAAGTCAGCTAATTCCTACAGCCAAGACATTTAGGAAAGTTCATTTAAGGTCTTATTAGCACTTCTATTTTGAAGACTTGCCTTTTTATTTTTAATTTTAAGTACAACTCTGACTTAATTATAGCTTCTAGTATATGAACATGTTATTTGAACTGAGGTCCTTTTCTGTGAGTTATAACCAGAAAAGAACCTTTAAAAAAGTGTGAGTGGTGCAAAAATATATTCATATATTTAAGAGCTCTATGGATAATGATGACAATGTAATATGTATCATAAAACAGTTTTCCTTAGTAAAAGAATCCAGTTCTTCAAATGGGTACTAGGTTGCTGTTATTTTTACAGGTCATTACAGCCATTTTAATGAAATATATTAGTAAGCTCAGATCCAATTAGAAACTGATGAATACCACTGAATTAACCATTATTTTTATAACTGCTTGAGAATTCTTTTAGTTATAGAAACAATACAAGGGTCCTAATTTTATTCTACTAAACATGTGCTCATTTTATTTGATTAAGAAGGAAGTAATCATCCAACTATCATTCAAAATACCCTGGGGATAAGTACACAAAATAATATCAACTAGTAAAAAATAATGATTGCTGGCTAATATTTCTCCTATGTAATGAAGGGTTAGAGAATAAGGTGATACTTCTCCACAAGTAAGCATGACATTCATATTCTAGCAAACCCATAAAGTTGAGAGTGTTTAATATCAACCTTCAACACATATTGCAATATTATTATTGTAAAAGAGGAATAAGAGGGAGAAGTAGATGACAGGAGGTGAATATTAATAATTGAATATAATAAGTATAGAATGGGTAAGCAATTTATTATTATTATTATTACAACATAGTATAATATTACTTAGTGACTTGGTTGATTTTTGCCTTGTGAGATGTCAGCTCACAAAGGAAAGTTAGCTGAAGAAAGTTGGAAGAGAATGATACATTCTCCTAAACTCCCTTCATTATATGAGTATTTCTTGCATAATATAAATGTAAATCCACTACTGATGCAATATTTATTAAAGGGTAAAATGTTTCTAGGTGTCAACCTGCTTGCTTAGACACATGCATTTACAAAGAAAGTAGGTTTAACATTTTAAAATGACAATAAGGGAACTTACTCTGGTGACCACAAAAAGCACTCTAATATCAAAAATAGAACATGAAGAACCATCCAAAAACCTTTTTTTTCAAGCACTGGAGAGGCTTACAATTCTCTTCAGAGAAGGAAAACAGAGTGTGCTCAATGATTGTCTCAACAATGTACCTAAGAAAAATTTCTAACACTATGAGAGGGACCTGAAATCTAGAGATTACAGCTGCAGTAAACATTAGAATGGACTGTGGCCCAGGTTGTTGAGATTGGTAAGGAGAGGGCACTAGAAAGTAGGCAAGGAAACTGAGTAGGGACTTCAGAGTTTGTGTCTGGGTGACCTTCAAGGCAAATGTCTAAGTGCTGAGTTGCCCATAAAATGAAAGAGTCTTTGGAGAGGCTAACCAGTAGCTAAATATTATACATTAGAAAAAAGAACTGAAGACTTAACAGTTCAGGGAAAATGGTGCTCCAACTCAGTCAGAGTGTGAAAATCTAGTCAATATCTCAGCATCCAACATTCAGCTGAGCTATCAGAAACGCCATGTCATGGAGAAGAGTTATCAGGTTCTTTTCTGTAAAGGAATTGAGAGCAAATATTTTAGAATCTAGAAGTCATATGGTTCTGTTGTCTACTTAACTCTGCTTTTGTGGCATGAAAACATCTATACACAATTCATAAATGAATGGGTGTAACTATGCGCTAATAAAGCTTTAATTATAAAATTACCAGGTGTTTGTCCGGCTTTGACCTGCAGGCCACAGTTTGCTGACTCCTGTTAGAGACCTGTGTTATACCTACTTATTAAAGCTTAAAACTCAGCTTTGATAATGCCAGAGAAACAGCTTCAGACTTAAAGACTACTAAGTTAGAGGAACTTGAGAAACATGGTTGGCAATACATTAAGACATCCTAACAATGCATAAAACTAAGCTTGTAGAGGTGCAAAGTAAATCTATTTGTTTGCTTGGACAAAAGCCATAATTTTAAAAGATAAACAACAAAATCCAGTAAATGTACAGCATAAAATTCTTTTTAAAATAACTACCTAGGAGAAAAAATTGAAATTAACAAATGAAGACTTAGAAAAGTCTTAATGTTTTATTTAGCAAATAAAAACTTAAAGTGAGTTATGGTTAATAATTTCAAAAGATAAAGGAAAAGAAAAATATACTCTTAATATTAGTCAAATGAGGAATCTAAGTAAAGGGCTGAGAGAAGTTTAAAAGAAAATGAAAGCAAAAATATACAACAAAATAACTGAATATAACTGAAAATAACGACAATAACTGAAAATTTTAAAGATGAGCTTTATAGATGACAGGAATTAGAAGAATGTAATGAAAGAACTTGAAGCAGATTAACAGAAAATCTTCAGAATTTAAGAAGAATGAGGTCGAAGAAATGTGAACAGGACCTCAAGAGAATATAATATTAAGTTAAAGGAGCTTAGAAATATTTCACTTTCATTTTAGAAAGAAAAGAAATTGATGAGTGAGAAAAGTGTGCAAGTGATTTCTGAGCTATCCTCAAAATTTCATGAAAAACAATAATTTACAAATAAGTAAGAATCCTAGCAAACAAGAAGTAGAAATAAAATGTACAGAGAATTAAACCCAGACATGTTATAAACACATTTCTAAAATCAAAGATAAGGAAAAGTCTTGAAAGCCACCAGAGCAAGTGATAAAAAATACTATTCAGGGAAAAAACACCTCCAAATTAGAAAAAAGAGAAGCCCAAGTATAATAAAATGGCATTATTTAAGCAGCAAAGGAAAATAAAACCTAACAAGAAAACCCCTGCAAACTACGAGTGCATATATGTAAAAAGCCATTGAAACACAATGATTAAAAGAAAACAGTTTCATAAAAGCAAATGATGATAAAGTTGTTGTTAGCAGGCTCATGTTACCACACAAACATGAAAAATGATGTGCTTTACGTTGGAAGGAAATTATAACAGACACTCATACATACAGGAAATAAAGTGTAACAGAAATGATAAATTGAGAAAATATAAAGGGGTTTTGTACTTTTCTTTAAAAGACAGTTTATTGAGGCAAAAGGAACACTGTGTATCTAATACACAGGAAGGAGTAAAGGAGGAGTAATATGTAAGATACTACATCCCAAACAACTGATGGAAGTGGCAAGAGGGAAATGTAAATGTGAACAGAGAAATTTAATTCTGAAATGATGTATATCGACTCTAAGTAGACAATAATAGGTTAAATACACATAACCTTGGCCCAGAATAAATAACATGCCATGAAAAAATCTAGAAAAGAAGTAGAGAACATAAAACAAATAATTAAAGTATATGATTAACCTAAGAAGGACAAGAAATGAACAAAGGGAAAACAAAACAGAAGGGTCAACTGGAAGGAAAGGCAATGGCAAAATGGTAGATGTATCTACAATGAGCAACATGTACACTGACCAGTAATTAAGCCCTCAACTAAAAAAGAGACTGATATTAAATTAAGTTAAAGGCCAGGGACAAAACTACTTCAGAAACTAAATTTAGGGAGCTGAAATAAATAAAATAGAAACCACAGAGTATTAATAGAAGTAAAACATAATTAAAATTATAAACAGCCAATGAATCAAGAAAAAAAAATTTAAATGTGTATACATCTAATGACAGAAATACAAAAACTGACAAAAATCAAAAATGAAATGGCTGTACCCAATCACATTATGTTATTTTATATCATAGTAATTGATAGAAGAGTAAAGAAAGTTCAGCAAAGATATAGAAGATCTGAACTATGTCATTAACCAAGTTGACCCAATGCTTATTGGTAATTTATGATATCTAACAGATACAGAATACATATTAATTTAAATATTTATTTACTACTCACTGAAACACACCATATGTTAAGTTATTAAATGTCTTGACAAATTTTGAAATGTTTAAATCATAGAGATAATGCTCTGTGACTGTAATGACAAAAATGACACTAATATAAATAGCATTTTAAAATTTCTATGTATCTGGAATTAAATTACAGTCTTCTAAATAACCCATGAGTGAGAGAAGAAATTACAAAAGAAAATTTGTTGAATTAAACGAAAACAAAAATAGATGAAAATGTGTATGTTGTAGAATAGATGGAAATGTGTATGTTGTAGTATAGGAGTACAGAGGGACCTGTGTCACTTCAAATATCTATTTTTGGAAGAAATAAAGGTTTAAAATGAATGATGTAAGTTTATACATTAAAATAGTAGTAAAAGAAAAACAAATTAAAGCCTACAAAATCAAAGGAAGGAAATCAAGCTTTTAGCAGAAATCAACATTCAAAAATTAGAATTTAAGCTGGGCGCCGATGGATTATGCCTGTAAGCCTAGCTATTCAGGAGGCTGAGATCTGAGGATCACAGTTCAAAAATAGCCTGGGCAGGAAAGTCTATGAGACTCCTATCTCCAATAAACCATGCAGAAAACCACAAGTGATGCTGTGGCTCAGGTGGTAGAGTGGTAGCCTTGAGCTGAAGAGCTCAGGGACAGCACCCAGGCCCAGAGTTCAAGCCCCACAACTACCACCACCATCAACAACACCAAAAAATTAGAATGTATAGTTGATTGAACTGAATTAATAAAAATAGCTAAAATTCTATAGAAAAACTAATCAAGAATAAAAAAGCACATTGTTAATGTCAAGAATAAATGAAGTGATATCAATGTAAGTCCTACAAAGAAAATTAAAATACCACAATACTATGAAAATTTTCATAAACAAATTCAGTAACTTAAAAATTAATGAATTTCTTGAAAAATATAATTTACCAAAATTGACATAGAGAAATAAGACTTCTGGATTTGCTACATTTTTTATTTAATAAATGAATTCAATTTTTAAAATCAAAGACATTTTAACACAGAAACCTTCAAACCCAGATAGTTTCATTCATGAATCTAATCAAAATATTAAATGATAATCAATACCAATTTCTGCTTGCCAAAATGAGATAAAGCTATTTAAAAAGGAAAAAAGAAAATGACCCAATTGGCTCTCACAAATGTAGATGAAAAAAATCCTAATGGCAACATTTGCTTATCAGTCTAATATTGTGTAATATTCTAATATGCTAAGTTGGTTTGTTCCAAAAATGTAACTTTTGCACAAAAGTTGAACATTGTTTATTTTCATTTACCATGTCATCAGAATAAGAGAGAAAGTCATATAATGATCCAAATAAATGTAGAATAAAATGCTTCAAAGAGTTAAACATCCTTTCTGGATGATAACCCTGTGATCTCACAGACTTTCCTGCCTAGGCTGGCTGCAAAAGTTGATCCTCAAGTCTCAGCCACCCGAGTAGCTAGGATTATAGGTATGATTCACTTGGACCTGGCTCTATGTTTCTTTTCAATGATATAAATTTAAGATAATGCCCATTGCATAGATAAGAGAATGTCTCAGAGCAACCATAAAGCTTACCCAAGTCTAAATATTAGCGTTAGAGTGAAGACATCCATTAGCTATTACTAACTTGTGAAGTCCCTGCCATGGATGTGATGTTTGGATAAATATTTGTAGTAATCAATTCTCTTTTAGAAACACATCCTTCTGGGACAACTGACTTGCAGAACTATAAGATGCTCAAGGTAGATGCTAGATGGCCAGTAGGCAGCAAGGGGGAAAATAAAGCTACTTCTAATCATGAAGAGTTCTATTTCTCCCTTAGCATCAGTGAGTCAGTTTCACCCCCTATCATATTTAACATATGGAATGTCCCACCATATAGTTGGACAAATTCAGTTCTCTAACAGCCAAGAAGATGATGTCATCCTCTGTTCCTTTGTTGGGAACTCAGCCTCCTCTTTATCCTTGAACATGAAGTCATTGTAGTAGCCTGCCAGTTGAACCTCACTGCTTCTGAATTTATAGCATCTCTGTCTTACATGACCTGAAATAACAACTCAGCACCTGCTCTCAAAGTGTTAAAGTGTCCAATGTTCTCACCAGAAGGAAATCTGCAGAATTCAGATATGTCACCTTGGATGAGAAATAGGTTCAGTAAAGTTTTATACTCAAAGATTGAATCAAAGATTTGATTACAGCCTTGACATCTGGCCTCAACAAGTGCAGGGAAGCAGTTGGTGTGGTAAAGTAGCATTATGACTGAAATGCAGGATATGAGCTGACCAAAGAGAATCCTTGCCATGAGGTAGATTTTCTATAGAATTATGATAGCACCTCAACATTACAGCTCTCTGTTTTCCAAGAGAAATACTTACCTTTTATCTTTTGTTCTTATAGTTGGTAATTCAGCATGCATTTTGTTCCAATAGTGTGCCCCATATTTTCCTAGGTGCCAGAAATACTTAGCTCAGCAGGATACTCTTGAAAGATAATGGATCCTGAAAGGAAAAAAAGATTAAATATTATAAATGCTGTACTTGACAGTTCACAACACATTGAGGGTTACACTCAAAGTGACTGTCCTCACCTTACAAAGAAAGAGAATGTGAGAGGGAATCACTGAATGGATGCATACCAGCAGGAATGAGGCAGTATTCTGAGAATTGTGTGTCGTTTCCTGGGTCTTAAAATGAGAACAGGAATTCGGAGTAGATAAAAACCATGGATATGAAGTTAAAGCACATAAAATCGATCTATTTCTATGAGAGACACAATTGTTAACTTTCAGGAAACTGAAGTAGAAAGAAATTTGCATCTAAAACTAAAAATAGAAATATTTATTAGTAATGCTAACCCTGAAAGCAGTAACAAAAAATATGGGCAAATAGGAGACTATCATCTTACACTATAATCTTTTGTAGTATTTAAACTCTTACATTGTGAAGCTACTCATATTGTCAAATATGTAATAGAGAGAAGCTAAAGTTAACCAATAAATGCAACATAGAATAGTTTCGAAGAAGTTTAAAAAGAATAATGAAGACTACAAAGTATGATAATCCCTAAGAAAAATGAAAACTAGAAGAGCCAAGCAGAATCTGATTTTTCAAAAAAGATTATGACATTTTTACTAAAACATGTGAGTAATTGTAAAAGGTAACAAAAGATAAAAAATAGTGAGTAGATTATCATAGCGCGAGAGATTTACAGTGATACCTCAAGGATTAGTGTAGGTGGAGGGGCTGCTCTGGAAGATTTAAGGTAGAAAGGCCAAGATCCCAAAGGACAGTGATCGCCTTTGTCTCTTCTTGGGAGATATTTCTGCCTTTGCCTTCTGCATGTTGACTCTTCCTTTCCTCACTATGTTCTAAAAAAACTTCCATAATTTTCATCCTCGGTTATCAATCGCACTCAACCTCTTGTGTTCCCTAGGGCCTAGCTTTGGGTCTTCCTCCTGTGAGTTCCTGTAGCATGAACTCCAGTAAGCCAGACACGTCTTAACTGTGCATTTCCAAGACTGTTTTGCAGTAAGTGTATGTCCAGTAAGTGTATGTCCAATGGAAGAAAGGAAAAAAGGCAGGCAGGAGGAGGATGCCCTTTCTCTTACAACTTGTTTTTCTACGGACTGGGAAATAGGATATTTATTTAGCACATTCATGTCTTCCAAGCAGTCTTGCTTCTAAAGGGATAAGAAGGTAAATCAGTCCTTCATAAGATAACCACCTTGAGAAAATGTGAGATCAAAAAGGAATGGAAACAGCTGGAAAGCAAGAGGACATGGAAAAGAATAGAGCAGTAACATTAGTCTTTGGGAAAGTGGAAATTCTGCATAAGTGCCTTGACCTTTCCCAAGTGCCAGCCCCACCTTGTATATTGTAGCCTCACATTTCTTTCTTTAAAAAATATTGTAAGGCGATGTACTGAGGGATTGCAGTTAACTAGATCAGGTAAGGAGTACATATCTTTTTTAACAGTGTCACCTTTTCCTTGTTTTCTCCCAGATTTCCCCTCCCAATTCCCTCTTCCATAAGTTGTATAGTTCATTTTCAACATAGTGTCTGTCGAGGATCACTGCTATATTAGTTCATCTTTTGTCCTACTTCTGTGCTCCTCTTACCCTCTCCAATTCAGATAAACAGACATATAAGAAAAAAGGTACAGAAATCAAAAACAACAAACTGGGGGGGGGGGGGGGGGGGCAGGAAAAAAAAACAGAAAAAAACCACAAAAAGTAAAAAAACCTCTTGTTTCCATTTCTTGGAGTTCATTTCGATAAGCATTATTTTATAAATATGATCACATGCACATAGCCATTGAGCCCTATTGATCCTCTCCTAAGAAAATGTCCTCCTTTGTACCCATGGTGTGAATGTTTACAGTCCTGTTTAATTGATCATGTCCCAGTGTAATTTTTGTGTTTTTTTTTCTTTTTACTATCCACTGGGATTACTTATAGATTTATAGGCAGCCTCGTATTTCTAAGTCACAGTTCCTGCTCCTGAAAAATGATGAGTTGGACTAAGAGTTTACTCAGTTATTTCATTTTGTGGTAGAAGGACAGGAAAAGAGGTTCAAAGGTGACATTCATTATTTCAGGAAAGGAGAGAAAAGCAAAGAGGAAGGTGTACTCAGAGTTCAGGGCTAGACTCCATCTTGGTTACTGAATTTTGAGTTTGCCCTTGTACTTTTTTGTGAAACAAAAAAGAAGAAAAATTAAATTGAATCTTTGCAGCTTCTCCTTCTCAATACTGAGGTTGAGAGTGAAAGAAAGCAAATAAGAATCATTCTATATATAAACAGCCAGGAAATGAATAGTGTTATGATCAGGTTGGTATGGCTGGCCAATAAGATGTGCTATAGAAGAGTTCTTCAGGACCAAGACCTTTTCAGTCTTCAAAGATTTGAATTGTAGGTGGCTATTGACTATGGCTTCTTCAGAAACATAAGATTCATGGAGTAATAAAAAAAAATTTAAAAAGTGTTCCAGAGATACAAAAATAATAGCAAAGTCTATTAATTTTCGAGCTAGCGGAACAGCACCAGGAAACATCTTTACTGAGAAATTCACTAAGAGAAATGACTCAAAGTTTTTAAGTGGTACAAAGAAGAGGCTCATGTGGTTGAGTTAATGAAGAACTGAAAATTAACACTCTGGGTAGTGGAGATGTAGTCTGTGGTTCTGAAAAGAGTTGAGCAGAGTCAGCCTCACTGTTTACTAGTCAGAAAAAGTCTAAGCTTTAGAGTATAGAGTGCTACTACCAGTCCAAATCCATGATCTTTTATCAGCTTCATTTGATTTCACTCAATGGTGGCATAGATGTGTGTGTGTGTGTGTGTGTGTGTGTGTGTGTATATATATATATATATATATATATATATATGTATGTATTTATATACATATGTATTTATATACATATATAGTATGTGTATATATGCAAATGTATGTATGTACATAAATACATATATATCCCCCCCAGATTGAGTTCACATAAATGTGACACTCTCTCTCTCTTTTTTCTGTTGGTCCTGGGACTTGAACTCTGGGCCTGAATACTGTCCCTGAGCTCTTCAACTCAAGGCGAGTGCTCTACCGATTGAGCCACAGTGCCACCTCTGGTTTTCTGGTCGTTTATTGGAGATAGGAGTCTCACAGAATTTCCTGCCTGGTCTGGCTTTGAACCATGATCCTCAGATCTCAGCCTCTTGAGTTGCTAAGATTATAGGCATGAGCCACCCCCCACCCCCCGGCCGGCATCTGGCTGATGCTGTCTTTTTACATAATGTGATGATGCCTTTCATTCAGAGATAGGAGAACCAACCAAATGTGTGCAAGCCCTTGCCTTGTTTGCAAATGCTCAGCTCAATGTCAGACATCAGTTTGTATTGTCCCCTTGACACCAGCTACTTGTATGCCCTCAATCATCCCTTTCCATCTGGCCCGGAGTTAAAGACTTTACTTCCCTTGTAATTGGTGCTCTCTCATATAATTTCAAAGGCATGGAGAAGTATAAATGAAAAGGAAATAGACAAGTAAAAGAACCGATGCCTTTCAGTTTTCTAGGTTATTGCAGACAGCCGAGCAACCACATGGTAGGGCCACTGTAAGGAAATGGCAAGCTTCTCATGGTAACTGGGCAGAAGGCTGTTCCAAGTGGTACAGAATTCTAACGTTCTATGGTAGAGGAGCCATGACCATCTTCTCTCCACCTTGAACATTTTGTGTGCAAAAATAATGAGTGACTCAACAATGCTCTGGGACCTAGCACATATCCAATACATATATGTTCAAAGAAATGTGGAATTGGGGGCCTCTTGGCAAGTATATTTATCCAAGATAAGACTCTGCTATGTTTCTCTGTTTCCCTTTGATCTAGAAGAAATACTTAATGTAATTTGGTCTGAAGAAAAAAATAAAAATAAAACTAGCATCTCTTAACTCTCAGCAATTCTATCAGAGGTAAAGGGAAGTAATGTTCCTATCAAAGAGCTTAGAAATAAGGCTCAGTGGCTGGCTTGATGTCTGAAACTTGAAAGAATTGAGTTTAAAGTAATATTTCAGTTGTAAGAAAAATGTACTGAAATTAAAGTCTTCCAACTGTAAAATGCCTTAGAAGTGAACTTGTCTGACCCCTCTTTCACACACATTTTAGAGATGAGTAACTGGAGACCTAGAAGAGGGCTATAAATTAACCCAAGTCACAAATTTTAGAAACATTATTAGTGAATGTGAGCAGAGCTGGTGATCTTTCCTAAGATAAGGAAGATTTATTCTAGCGTTTCTGTGCCTGAGGAAAGCTCCTTGATCATAAATAGACCCTTGGTTGCTTATGAGGATGCAGTTTATACCAACTTCTGACACTGGGAGCTTTGGCTAAAGCAGCCCTGGATCTGAAAAACAGCTGTTCCATATCCTCTGGCTCTGCAGCTACTTCCTGCTGATTCTCACTCAAAACTCAATTGACTCCTTATCTCTGTATCCTATTGCCCAGGAAGATGTGGCTGCGATAAAGTTCAGTCCTCCAGAGGTTTATGGCTGCTAGACTTGAAAAGGAAGCTGATGGGAAAACTGATATCCAAAGCAACACTCTTCATCCTCACCTTCCACAAGCTAAGACTTGGCCAGGAGCAGTGTGTTTTCTTATCTACAGAATTGTGATGAAGACACCCTAAAAAAATTTCTATTTGGGGTAGGCAAATCTATTTCTAAGGGCTTATTAGGGAGATCAAGTTGGGTTATTATTATTATTTTTGCCCAGCTTACATTTCCCTGAATAAAGAAGTTCAAAGTTTTAGAGCTATAAGGCACTTAAGGAACATCTTTAATCATGCCTAACTTCACAACTGCAGAGACCAAGCCCCAGGAAGAAAATATACTTCTTAAATCACAACACCAGGACAGTGACCAGTGTTTTACAGACTCCTGGAATCACGTCTTTACAGTCATCTTCTTTCACTAGTTATGTAAAATGACAGACTATGTCCAAGTCTATTCCTGTATAGGTAGACAAAAAGACCAGGAGGCTCATTAACTTGTTCAAAATCATATGTACTTAGTGGCAGCCTGTTCAACTACAGATATAGTTCATGTAAAAGTTTTGAGCTGATAAAAAATAGAATGGAAGAAAGCCTCTTCAGTAAATGGTGCTGGCAAAATTAGTTAATCACATGTAGAAAACTAAAGCTAGATCCTTATATATCACCCTGCACCAGAATCAAC